GAGTCAAAGAAAAGGAGATCCGATCTATCTATCTGCTTGTCTGTCTGTTAACACGTAATACTTCTTTGTAACTTTCATATGCTTCAGATTAACGTAAAAGTGCATCGGTAAAGAACGTACATTATACCAGTGGCTGAGTATGGCCCCGCAGCCATACTTCTTTTTAGCAGGGATGTCCATTCTTCCAATAAAACTTACGAGCCCTACCCCTCAACTTAAATCTTAGTGTGAGCCCCTTTAAAATTTTGTACTGAACAGATTAACACACATTTGCAATAACTGAAATACTTCCGAATATCACGTAGGCTTAAATTTAGGTTTAATTCTATGTAAACTTAGTTGTTATCGAGCTTATACAGAGATGTTGGCAAAAAACATTAAAAAAAAAAAGATATATACTCTCTATATATTCTCTAGGTAATAACAATTAAAAATGTTTATTTTCAGCCAGCGTTTGGCCGCTACAGCTTCACCAGGGCTATTGCTACAAGGACTTTGTTTTTCAGACTTTGTAGTGTATACTGGAGAGATTTAAATATTTTGGCAATAACGTTAGAAAAAAAAGGACCTTTATTCTCTAGGTAATAACAAAAACTTTATTTCAGCCAACGTTTCGTCGTTGCAGTTTCATCAGGAGTAGTAAAGGGACTAATAGTATGATTCAAATATGTACAACTATAAAAGGTCAAGTATCTAAAACCGTAAAAGGGGTACAGTAGTAAAGTTCTGAGTTAGGGCGTTTGACTCGCAATGTGGGGGTCGCGGGTTCGAATCCCCGTCCCACTAAATATGCTCGCCCTTTAGGCCGTGGGGGCGTTATAATGTGACGGTCAATCAATTCGTTGGTAAAAGAGTAGCCCAAGCAGGCTATATCTACATTCACCTAGCAAGAGCGTAGCCAGCATTACAGAATGGGGGGTCTTCTTATACACAAATAATTTAAGTGATTTACATGAAAGTCAAGTGTTTATTCAAAAAAATATAATCAGAAGATAATGGACCTTTTATACTCTTTAGAATATTGAGGTGGTCTTTCGACCACCATTGGCAGTAAAATCAAAAGACCCGTACTCTCCCAGTAATAATAATAAAAAAAACAAAACTTTATTTCAACCAACGTTTCACCATTGCTGGTTCACCAGGACTAATAGTACAAGAACTAACAGTACGAGTCAAATATCTACTACTATAAGTCAAATATTTAAAACTGTAAAAGGGTTATTGTAGTACGTTAGTGTGTACGTTGCCTCCGTACTTTAGTACGTACTTCATTGAAAGCGAGTTAGACTAAACCTCGTAGAATACGCATGCTCTGTAAACAGAACAGATTTATAGAAAAATGACCTTGGGCTTATAACCTAAGTTTTTGTCCAAATGCTGGTAATGCAATAATAATAATAAAATAATAATTTCGCGCAAAGCTACCCCAAGGCTATCTACGCTAGCCATCCCTCATTTTGAAGTGACAGATTAGAGGGAAAGCAGCGCCACCCACCGGCAACTCTTGTGTTACTCTTTTACCCACGAATAGTGAGATTGAGCGTTTCATTATACCAACCCCAAGGATGAAATGGTGAGCATGTTCGGTAACGAGAACATTTCTTTATGTGGTTTGTACGTTTGCATAAGAAAGGAGCTTCGTAGGTTATTGGTTATAAATACGTATAATTTAATAAAACAACAACAAAAAACGTAACCCCAAAATTTTAATACTGAAATTTTAAGTCTACTAATGGTAAATTACCAATTTCTTAGTATTCCTTTGTATCCAAATATTATTGGTTGGTATACTTGTTATTTTGCGACTAGATGGCAGCACAGAGTAACCAATTTAAAGAAAGCCAACATTGTGATTTTAGATTGTTTTCAAAAGAAAAAAGATATAGCGAAACAGAACATCTCATGCGGAGGTTTGGTAGCTAATAATTAATATTAAAACAACAAAAAATATCAGAACCGCTTAACTAATGCATATTTAAATAATTTTCGTTTTGAGACTTAATCCATAAAAAAGTTTTTTTTTTTAAATATACTTCAATATGAAATAAAAAGAGTTTTTGTAATCTAAATTATTGGTTGTTTTATTGTTGCCCAAACTTTCTGTACTGAGCACGATAATACCAATGACGTATGAGTAAAAGTTATAATAATATTTGTTTGTTGGATTTCGTGCAAAGTTACTCGCGGGCTGTATGTTCTAGACTAGGAGATTGCAGATTGCGAGTTTAGCGCCATAACCACTAGATTATAATATAATAATAATAATATATTATGATAATATTATTCTGAATAACGTATCTATTACAATAATAGCACAGAATAAATAGTGGAATTATGCAAAAAAATTATGGTGTTCAAATATAGCTATTCCTAACTTTCCCTATTAACCGGAGACGATAGTAAAGCACATTTATAATTTAGTTCTACTTTAAATTGACTAAAAAATGGTATCATATTTATACTTCTATCTTACATAGCTTTATATATAACTTCTTTGTTAAGAAACATAGTTTTAAATCTATAAATATAATGACGTCAACCTACCATCTGCATTATAGTGAGATATTTTTTCCACCATAGATACGGCTTCATGTGAGGCCCGAGAGCAGCTAGGCAGTAATAGGCGTACATTATCATGTGGACGAAGCAGTTGATAAATGGGAAAAAGGCGTTATGGCCACCTATAAATACACAAATGCTTGTTACTTTAGCAACATACAAGTTTCAGGCTTTGATGTCTCTAATTTATGCCTAACCAGAGGAACGGCAACCAGTCAGCATTATCTACTTTTAAACTGAGCAACTGTCACTATTATAGTGTGGGTTGTGTTCGGCGACATATCGTTGCTCGAACCTTGAACTTTCTGAATCGCAGCCCAGCATGCTATCCACTTGGCTACCCCAGCCATTTTGCTTGTTGTTAAAGTTGTCTTTCCGGGCTTACCCTGACCAGTATTAACTACCTTTCAGTATCACTTATACTTTTTTACAATTAATTAAGATGTAAATAATTTAACAAATTCAATTAGCTGACTGAAACGTCAATCAAATTTTGCTCCCTCAGTGAAATGGCACAGGGCTTTTCTATATGTACATGTAAAACTAGAATCCCCCCCCCCCCAAGAAAAACTACAAAAAAGGTTGAAAAGGTAATACAACATATAAACAGCACATATAGATGATGTTTTTTAACAGTTTCTATTCATAGGCGGAATATTTTGGATTATTCTACAAGATCCAAGGTTTTAGTACTAACTAACATAACGTTCTAAGGTTGATAGGCCTAATTTAATTATTCCACTTAATTGCTAATTTTCTCTCCTACGTACGGCACTTTTTCTTATCTCTAGCCGCAAACACAAACTAATTAACTGGCTTACAGCAACAGACTTACTGACTAAATCATGCACTGGTTACTAGTTAACTGATTAACGGACTCACACACTAACTCTACCTTAACTCGCTCTTTATATCTGGTTCAAACTGCCTTGAACGTTTGGAGAAAATTCCATACATTAAGCCTTGCGCTCTTCATGTGACCTCTAACCAAACAACAGTACAAGCGTTTAAATTAAAACACAACATACAATAGTATTTTTGGACATAAGTTTCGGCTAGATTCCAGCATACCTGCGCCAAATTTCATGCCGATCCAGATCCCCCAAGCAACTGAAGAATGATGAACCACGTGCAAAGCGGAGATATGGGTAAACTTTTTCCGTAGAATGAAGAAAATCTGAGACAAAAAAAAAAAAAGAAGCAAAATGAGCATGATTTACAGAGCGTTCCGAAATTATGTTATTACTTGATTTTCAAGAAATTACCACAAAAGCTACAAATCCCAATTTCCAGCCTAGTTTGTTTACTATTTTCACAGTTCACAGTCTTAGGCTCGAAAATATAATATTTGCATTTTGATTCAACTTCTTTCTGGACTTTTTCGACGATCCGTATTTCCTTTTTTAAATTAACAGTTTTTAATTATCTTTCTTCTTAAGTTTTTATGTCCATTTATAGAGAATAAATTTTAAGCTACATACGTGCATATGCATTCAGATGAATGTTGCATGTTTTTTCAAAAGTTTACTGCTGCATTGGCTTTTTTTCCACCCAACTATTATTTACTGAGCCCGGTGGTTTGCCTGAGGTTTCGTGTAAACACGCGTTTAACATTTAACAGACGTCGAGTACAAAGGAAGTCACTTACAACAACAACGCATGTATTATGTAATTATAGTCACTCACAATTTCAGCTAAGTACGAAAATCAATAGTACAAAATCACCACTCAGAAGAGTAGAGAAATCTACTATGGTAATTGTTTACTGTTAGAAAACTCACTTAAAAAGTTGCAGAAAACTACATAGAGACAAAGTACAACAGTGAATTCGAGAAATGATGAATCCGTAACGTGGCAGTTTCCAATTAATGCGCTACAACTTGCACAAATTATTTTCCAATTAATGTGCATTAGTAAAACATCGGAGTTTTTCAATGGCGGAAAGTGAAGGACTTAGAGAAATTCTTCAGGGCGAAAAACGAAAGTGCTTGAATTAATTTTAAAACTACCCTATGACATACTCAATACTGCATTCATTACTATACATTGTCCAGGTTTCATTAAAATGTTCGTAGCAGTTTTTTATGTAGCGGTTTGTTAAACGATAATCAATAATAATAAGGCTTGAGACACTATTAGAAATATACACATTGTTTACTCTAATAAAACAAAGCGTTTCTGTATAGTATAACGGTGCTTAAATGGCTTCGAAGAGCTTATTGTTGGTAGCAAAGAAGAACTTAGAAAATTTCGACTTTCAAGAATCAACTTAAAAATAGGCCTAAAACCTTCGCAGGAGTTTGTTTAGTAGCTGTGCACAGATTTTAGCGCAGTATACCTAGTAGTTTTTGCCGTATGCTTCGGTGCTTGATTGTCTTTGAAGAGAAACTTTACCAGTAGCAATGAAAAAACTGAAAATCTCTCCTTCTTTTTCAAGAATCAACATAAAAGTATTCCTGTGACCTGCACAGGAGTTTATTTTTTAGATTTGTCCAGGTTTGAATAAAATATTCATAGCCGTTTTTTCTGTAGGCATGTGAAACAGCAATAATATGAATAATAATAATATGAAGAACAAATGGATTAGTTTGATATTTGTCTAACAATCGGATAATCAACTTTTTCCCTATTATCAATATTTTAGCAACCTTAGCCATTAAGATAGAAGGTCTTGAGTGCTGTTTCAAGAACAAGTCTGCTTTTTAATATGATTTTTGCCGGTATGTTCTAATAGAACTTTTGTGAAATTCCTGTGCAATCTCCATTATGAACCACTATTGTGGTTCATGATGCAGAGTAGAAACAACGTTATCAAAAATCCAGAACCTATTTGGACTAACAGTTCGACTTTTTATGTTCTATCTTTTATTATAGTTAATATCGTAAAATATGAGAACTATTTTTTTTATTACAGTTGATACTGTAAACTATGAGAGCTACTTTTTAGTACAACAGATTGTCGTAAAGTGTAAGAAATACTTTTTACTACAACTGATTCTTTAACCTGTAAGAACTACTTTTTATTACAATTGATATCGTGAAGTGGAAGAACACGAACTTACTGTGTCTGTAAATTCAAAAATCTTCAGCAAAAGGTAATACCAGCCAAGGTTCACCAACTGTGAATATTCATTTGGAATGTTAGTTAATAAGATATGATACCTTTAGCACAAACAACAAAAATTAAAAGCTATCTGTAAACAAATATTTTAAGAACATACCACGTATTTACTCTGAATTAAAATAAAAATACAGTAAAATCCGGAGGTTTGTGTTTTCGTTCTCAATATTCTGTCTGGTTTTTCATACTTCTTTCTGTTTCTGCAGTTAAAAGTATTTGAAAGTTTAAGGAAAGTTTTTAGTTCAATAGGAATTTGTAAACACATTTTTTATTTGGTTTCTATGCAATTTTACATAACTATGTGGTCCAGAGTCGTCTTGTTATAGTGGCTTTGATTTTTAGTTCTCTATGCTAGATAATGTCTATTAAGCCTTAAGTGATATTACAGTAACATATAACATCCATATTGAAAAGATCAGTGTTTGTGATATCCATTGCTAGTCAAATTGATATATCTGTATGTTACAGCCAACCAATGTTGTGAAAGAAAAAGAGGCATGAGATGACACTGCCAACTGGACGAAAAAATAAATACTAGTAATTTACCTGTACAATTGAAGCGAGCTTTCTCAGTTCAGTTCTACCTGGAGTTAAGACTTACTTTAAAATCAGTGTGTTCAGTTCGATAAAAGTCTATCCTGAGATTGTATTAATTTTCTTACACTTGTACGATCTCATTATCCCTCAGACGCACTAAAGAAACTCAGTCAAGTTAGATATTACAAATAAAGAAACGTTATTTCTCAGTAGGATATTTATACAGACCTTATATTTTAATATGTAGAAAAATTTACCGTCATTGTCTCTGGATCTGTGGCGTAACTGATTGGCTGACATAACCAATTGTACTTGGTCGATAAGTAAGTCATACTCCCTCCCTGAAACGTACATAAACATTTTTAATTTGAAAATCTTGATTCCAAGGCAAATTTACTCAAGCTTCGAAAAGCTTCACAAAAAAAGTAATCCTTATCATTTACATCATTCTTATTTAAAACGGCCTCCGTTAAATTGAGAGCCACGAAATCGCTAACCCTATTAGCCATTAGGCAGTACAACCTAAGCCTAATATTACAAAGTTAGGCTAATGTGCGTTAGGCTTACATTACAATCGCTAATAAAAATAAATTCTTGTATGACAAAAATAATTTTTATTTCAACAATTTTTTATCTGTTTTTAAGAAAAGCACAAGTAATCAAACTTAGACCATAATAATGCTGTAAACAGAAATTATAATTAAACTAGTCGACGTTACTTACGTCATTGAATTTGAAATTTTATAGGGAGTACTTTATTGACGTTTTCTACGTTATACAATTTGAAATTTCTTGGATAGAATTTAACTGGTGGTATACGTTATAGATTTCATATTATTTGGCAGTAATCGATTCCTTGATTCAGATAATTGTGATGGTTTTTACGCTTTAACGTTACCATTATAAATAATGTTAATGTCACAGGGACCAAAGGAAATTAAGTTATATTAATTAATATCGAAATATTTTAATTAATGAAGTGTTTCTAAAAATAATGTTGCACATCATACACTTTTTCAAAACAATATTTACATTTCCGCAAAATGGGCAAGTGTAAAAACATTACTTTTTCATTTACCACACAAATGTAAATCGTTAAAAATTTACTCACATAAAAGAAGAAAAATGCACTCAGGATGACTTGGATTATATTATAAACAATGACCACCCTTCCAATTGAATAAGGTTTCTTGTTTTTCATCCAGACGGGTCCAAGAACTTTCACGAAATACACGTAGGAAGCAATAATAGAAAGTATAGGAAAAGGAGATCCTAAGAGGGGCCAGTCGCTGGTCCGTGGGTCTGCGAAAATAATAAATAAAAATATCACAATTATCAATACAAAATTTAGAAACCAATGAATAAATTATAAGTATAGATAAAATAAAATAAACATACTAAGATAAGTAATTATAACAAGTTATTAAGGCTCCATCACACACACAGATGTTGAAAAAAAATGAATTGGGGAAGGGAGACGAGGATAATTGGAAGCACCTTATTTGTTGTGTTAACTGTGACAAATGAATTCAAAGTTGGAGTGACTTTTCCTGCTAATCATACATAAGTCGCTATTCACTTTCAAAGAAGTACTACGCTAACAGGTAAAATATATTTGGGAGTGTATGTGTCCCCATCGATCCCCTCCCTCCCCAGTTACGTCTCCCATTTGTTGCTTAATGGGCTATTCCTAGCTGTGATCACTGCGAGTACTGAAACCCGACCTCTTAGCGTTGTAAACATTCAGGTTTGTCGATGAGCCAAAGATAAGCCTCATTTCGGATAAAAATCGCTTGAACTACTCGTGTTTTTTTCCACATTACACTTAATCTGTCCTTTTCAGTTTTCAAATGAGAAGTATGTGAAAAATAGAGTATCAGCTGTATCTTATGTCTCCTTCGAGTCAATACCCAAAACTCAGAGTTATGTAATAATATATATAATATAATATAATAATATATATATAATATAATATATATATATAATATATAATAAATAGCATATCAGGTGTATCTTATGTCTCCTTCGAGTCAATACCCAAAACTCAGAGTTATGTAATAAATAGCATACCAGGTGTATCTTATATCTACCACAGCTCTGCTGTTTACATTTGTTTGTTGTAAAGCGCAAGGCTACATCAGGGCTATCTGTGCTCTGTCCACCGATTTTTAGCGTTATAAGCCCTCTAACTTACCACTGAACCATCGACGTCGTCATGTACGTGATTTGTATTATAATTAATTAGGCCTGTAGGTTTTCTACGCTCCGGACAACTTTCGGTCTTTAAACCCTAAAAATGTCTTATTTGTGGAAATTGTTTATAGAATTCGAAACGAGCATTAACCCTAGTTTTACTGATGGGAGCTTATATGCCTTAGGCTTTTTATACATATTTTTCTGAACTGTTTATGCACCTAATTGCTTGTAGGTCCATGACTATATTGGTGGCATGTGTTACAATAACAACAAATATGTAAACAAAACAATCACCAATATTTCAATTAATCCCACTAAAATTTACTAATAGTGTCCTCTATGTATTTTACGTATAATATGAGCAATTTTGATTTAAACTTTACTATTTCAGGAGAAATAACTAATAATCAGGGGTGGGGTGCTCGAAGATTAGCAATCCTCTCTCACCCTTGCTCGAGGCTAGAGGTTAAAGTTCAATTAGTAGTCAGCGTTTTAATTATTCATATGGGCGAATAAATAGAAAAATAAATAAATGAAAAATTAATAATAATGATAAACAAATAAAATGAACGGAAAAAAATAAATAAAAATTAATATATATATATATATATATATATATATACAGATGATGATGAGGCAAGTGGGCGGAAGTAAAGGCAAGTCCAAGGCGTAGCAGAGGCCTGTTGATCTAGTAGAAAGAGCAAGTCGGCAGCCACTGTTGACAATTTATCGAAACAAACGGGCCTTTACAGGGCCTGGCGGCGATCTGTTACACAATTAGTGGAACGGTTATGTTATAAAGGACAAGGACGTATCGTTTCAAAATTGTGAATGATTTATTAACCTATCAGTTTTTCTAAATCCCGATTCTAGAGTCTAGTTCTGAAAGTTTTGTTATTCTGAACAAGACCTTTCTGAGAATCGTGAGGTTAAATCATTGTTTATTTCAGATGTTCATGTAAAGCTACACAAGGGCTATCTGCTCTAGCCATCCCTAATCTTGAACTGATAGGCTATTATAGGGAAGACAGATAGTCAACAGCACTAACCGCCAACTCTTGGATTACTCAAACCGAAAAGTGTGTTTTGACCGTCACTTTTATAACGCAACCACGGCCCCAAGGTGGAGAAGGCGAACTTGCGACAACTTGACCCTAATCATGGATCCTAGGCTTCCCAATCCAGCACGCAGAGTAAGAAGTGGAATTTTAAAATTGTTGTAAAGGAGTTAAATCAGTGTTATCTTAAAACTGAAAATGTTAGATTCAACCTCAAGTCATTACGATCTATAATATTCGATTACAGCCAATTCACATTGGTTGAAAACATTCAAGAAATGAGTCGATTAAGCCTAATCATAAAAATAAATATTGTTACGTCTCTGTTCGTTTGTTAATTTTCCGTACAAATTATTTCCCAGAAACTTTAGCGATACAAGTCCTTTCTTAAATAAAACTAGTTTATTCTTTGTCAACTCAACTTTGAAATACACTTAATTTCCACAGTCACTTTAAGTTAAACACACGCTATAATTTACAACGAACGATTCACGCACTTTACTTATTACCGCGCTTAACTCAATTGTCCGTCTCTGTCTGTCTGCAATTATCTATCTCGTCACTTTATTTGCCGGCTTATATACTATAAAAGCGCGTGTCTAGCAAACACTCGAGCCTTCAGGAACGTTCGAGATACTCATTACGTGTTACTAGAGTCACGTGACTTCCGCTGTCGTAACAATATTAACCTTTCTTATGTCGTGTCAAAAATATTTTCCTTTTCAAAGTTAGGCGTATTAAGTAACCTCTCAAGCAAATAAAATAAACACAAGAGAATTGATGAAAAAAAAATCAAGAATAATATGAACTGGTGCTTCCATATACTTCCAACCTCTTGTATTTGACGCCAGCGTTATTTAGATATTTTTCTTGATAGCTCGTGCTGATTATCACCGCATGTCATTTAATGCCACAGAAAATTGTTTTGCCTTGCGCGTGATGCATTTTTTTTAACTGAAAAAGCAATTTTTAACGATTAATATTATTTATCACGAACTGGTGGAGAGAACTGAAATTTTCGTTTAAAATGTAAATTTCATTAGCTATATCATTCTTATAGTTTTATTTTAATCATTTTTAGTTTTGTAAATAGTTTAACCACCCCCGCCCCCCGGCGACTTAGCCGTAAACTTGAGGTCTTATAACACTAAAATTTGGGGTCCGTTTCCTGTTCTGCATTTACAACAATGAAACAAACACAATAATATGATAAATAGGCCCTCTGTCCATAACATTATGACCTTTTAGATATTTTGAAGATCAAGTCACGCTGAAGTCGATGGCTGAATTCAAGTGAATGTAAAACTGGTCGCAACTAGATTGTCTGTCACGTTCATATTATTATTCACGTGACACACGTACGACACAAGCCATCTTGGTCGCAACAAGATTGTCTGTCTCGTTCATGTTGTTATTCAGGTGATCCACGTACGACACAAGCCACCTTATTCGCTCATTCTGAGCGGACGATGTCTCAACAATTGTTACGATTATTAAGTTCTTGCTACAGCCTAGAATTAGCTGAAACTGAGTCTCAAGAAAAAACAACAACAAAATATTTTGGACTTTAAAATCGCTACATACATTTCACCACGTCAATCGTATTCTTCCTAAAAGACAAAAAAAAAGGAACGAGTGAGTTATAAGTTATTCAATACATATCAGTTTTTAAGTTCACATAAATAATTATTTATTGAGAGGTGGGAGAGTATTTCGAGTCTTTTTTTTTTTCTAAAGTATTTTCAAGTTGGCCCCCCAGTGGCACAGCGGTATGTCTGCGGACTTACAACGCTAGAAACCGGGTTTCGATACCGTGGTGGGCAGAGCACAGATAACCCTTGTGTAGCTTTGTGCATAATTAAAAACAAACAGACATTTTCAAGTTGGGCCATTCAGATGTTTCTTGGGGTCGTACGTCAGCATCTTAAAATACATGCTCACAATCGGCACAGTTTTCTAGCAAAATACACAACCCCAACTGTCTCGGAATCGGTGTGGAGTCAATAACTAAGATAGTCAGTTCTAATTTCAGTTTATAACAGCGTTTTTAAGTTTACGCCAAATCACGAAACTATATTACACGAGTGTGACGTATACTGAGGGGTGGCTGAATCCCCTGCCTTATGCTCCAAAATTGCTTCTTTTATTTCAGTCATAAAGAATGTCAACAATTACTAAAAGATACGTCTGAGTCCACACATCTTGTTTACTGCGAGTTATTAGGATAAAACAAAATATTTCATCTGTAAAATGAACAATACACAAGATCTTTATACTACAAGAAATAATTGTTGCATGTTATTAAGTGTTAATATGGACGAATTCACTACGTAGTTTAGATTTTAAGTGTTTATAAGACCAGTTGAATAGGAATAAGAGAGGATCTGTTTTCTTCGCATGACTCTCTACTTTACGTTTACCAGAGACAAGTACAGTCTCTCCTAACACTCCCTCCCCAATAAGAAACGCTTACCTTATGATGCTTGAAAAATTCTGTTTTTACCAATGAGCCCCTACCCATTTGATATTACCCGCACGTTACTGTTACACGATGGTAAGATGTTTTTACTTCAAAATGTTCGCACAAACTATACAAGGGCTCTCTGACAAATCGGGAGAGGGGGGAGGCAGCAAGTTAACAGCACCCTCCGCCAACTATTGGACTGGCTACTCTTATCTGAACGACATTTAACCATCACTCTTACAATGTAGCCATGACCCCAAACTGCAGACAGTGGTTTTCGCGGCAGTGGGGTGTAAACCGTGAATCATCGGATTCACAGTTCTGTCAAGCTAAACACTGGCCAAGCCCGACCACCTAAAAGAATTAATTCTTCTCTTGCAAAAGCTAATGTTAGTCAGCTCAAAATTGTTACGTACTTGTGTCTTAAAGCCACATACATTTTCTACTTATTAATATGTAGTCTTTCAGTAATGTTGAAGTTGAAGTCTCCATGTTTGTATGTTTCACTTATGATTCAATGCAATCTTTTCATTATAGGTTTTAATTTTCTTATGCATTGATTGAACTATGACCTTAAAAACGTT